TGGATTGATCTGCCAAATATATAGCAGAAATGGCTAGAAAATCCAATCCTATATGCATTTTCTTGAAAGTAATTTCCACGCGTTCTCTTCTAAAATATAGTATGTGGGATCACAGCTACTTAATGTGTTCAGTGTTTACCTCACCCAGCAACATTCTTATCTAGGCTGCTGTACTGTACATACTACATATGGGATTGCCTTTAAAGGCCATTCATAAATGATGATTTAGTACAATAGTAAAAATTACTAACTGGAGCAGGTAGATGGAATATCTCTCAAAGGTACTAAAACAGTTATGCTGGCTTCTAGTCCATTTCTGAGCCCAACACAAGGTGTTGTTTAGTTTTTAAAGCTCTAATTGGCTTGGGACAAGGGGAGCGAGAGAATCACCACTTCCTTCTTTACCTTGACAGTGCAAACACAATAGCCCCCAAAAGTCTAGTTTTGTCCTGCTTTACAAAAAACTGGACCAATCCAGCAAAAATCAGAGAGTCAGTCTTGTGCCACCTGTTGCCTAAATCTTTGTGTCCTAATTTCTTGTATCTTTGACTATTTATCTGTTTCCAATACAGCTTGCCAGAAGAAGCCTGATGAAAGAGAACTTATGGATGGTGGTTCCCAGGTTCAGGAATTGGAACTGGAAACTTCACCGTTCTAAATAGTGTTGCAGTCCCTCAAAAAGAACGGTACGTGGTTTGAAATTGTTTCTAGCTCACTATTGTCACTGAAGGCCCAAATAATCTCCATGGTTGGGAGTACCTATTGCCAGCTTCAGTTGGTATATCAACTACATCTTTTCCTACACAGGAACAGCCTAACTACAATTGTCCATGTGCTGGTAACTCCGCATTTAATCTTCTATTGTAGGGCTGCCCCTGCACTTGGTCCAAAACGGTGCAGCTGGTATTTAGGCCATGCACATATTTATACCTTTGTTGAACTAATTGCACTGGCTGCCAATCTAGTACTAAAGCAGATTCAAGGTTTTGTTATGACATCTAAGAGCCTAAACAACCCAAGAACAGGAATAATTATCAGACAGCTTTTACCTGGTTGGTCACAGAGAGCATCTGTGAGATACTGCTGCCAAATGGTTTCTGAGAACTCTAGAATTCTCTTTCCCCTGAAATTTGGGAGGCACCTGCTATACTATCTTTTAGATTGCTGTTAAAAATGGACTTCTTCATCCAGGCTTTCCTTCCTGGTATGAATACTGAAAGAATCTTTTTCTCTATACCCCTACCCTTTAAAAGTCTGTGTATGTGCGCATAGAGATGTATAAACTAGATATTTGGCTATTGTTTTTATATTGTTTTACCATGCATTTTACTGTAACTATTTCAAGATGCTTCAGCCTGTGAAGCAGTATATAAATGCATTAAATATATGAAGAACACAACCTACATGGCAAAATAAATGCAGCAAAATTTAAAGCAGAAACTGTTTGAAGATTGGGACCAATGTTTTGTTTGTCTACTGAGGTAATTCTGATTCTTCTTCTTCTTCCTAATGTTTTCCTGCAGGTGCAGGGTCCACTTTTCGGATCAACGAATGCCATTTCACGTGATCGAACACAGCAACTGGGTCCAACTGGGTTATCTTCATGTCCGCGTCAAATGTGTCCAGCCATCTTGGCTTTGGTCTTCCGTGTGGGCGTTTGCCATCAGTGTTAAAATGGTAGGCAGTGCAGGCGATAGGGTGGGGTGCTGCTCGTAAGACATGGCCATACCACTGTAGACATTTTTCCTGCATGTTCTGTTATTGGTGCAACACCCATCTGCTGCCGGATGTATCATTGCTGATGTGGTCGAGAAGGAGACACCCTATGACCAAAGGAGCATACATATCTCCATGGCATGTAGAGGGCATTCAGCACTTCTGGTGGTTGGCCAGCACTCAGTGCTACTGGGTAAACTATCATTCTATACACTTTCGATTTTAAGTGAATTGGCATGCACCTATCACAGAGCACTCCAATAGTCTCCTTCCATGTTGCATTCACCCTCGTGCACACTTCATTAATGCTGCTGTCACTTTGCAGATGGGATCCTAAGTAACAGAAGAAGTTTGTCTTCACTAGATCTTCGCCGCTGACCTGGATGGTGGAGGTGTTCAGGCTGGTCTCTAGATACTCAGTCTTCTTAATATTGAGGCACAAACCGAATTGGCTAAGATGATCATTCCATGTTTGGACAAAGTGCTGCAGTTCTTCCCTGATGGTAGCTGCGAACAGGACATTGTTAGCACAGAGCAAGGCCCAGGAGGCACCGTGATGCAGATCTTGCGTAACGAGAATGAACAGCAATGGCGATAATGCTGAGCCTTGGTGCACACCAACTTTCACAGGAAATCACTGTGAAATTACTGAGGTAATTCTGACTATGGACAAATATTTATCATTTAGAAGGAACTAGGGAGGCCCTGAATCTACTTTGATAATGAGTAGGATATAGAGACCTTAACACAGTGATAATTGTCAAAACATTTGATAGAGAAGTACTTCTTGTGTAGCTTAGAGGTCAGTTTGTGATACCATAGCAATGTAACACAACAGAAGGACATAAAAGTAGCAAATACCTACTGTTTTATCCAAAGATTTTCTGCATAATGCTAAGATTTCCAATATGATTGCATTAGAACAGTCTGTCCAGATGGTGTCCACCTGTTTGATGTAGGAAATTATTCCATCCCATTCTCAGATGAAAAGCCAGTGGGAATATGATACATTCAGAGCATACTCACAAAAAACTTATGACTTGAAGAAATAACAAGATTCAGTTGGCTTCTTCTTTCATACAGTGAATAATATGCTCCAGCCAAAATCTTAACTGAATAGCTGCTTTGTTTATCATCCTGTGCTTATGTAAACAAGATGCTGTGCAGGTAACAATTTCAATATATCTGATGGATCAAAATATTGGGATAGTTAGCCTGAAATCCTGAATATGTATTCATCCAGGATCATCTTAAAGCAGATTAGTTTAATAAAGTTGAAATCCCATGTGTAAGCTTATTGGGTTCTGGGATATTGCTCTCTCTCTCTTTCATACATCACCGCTGCCATTTTTCTTGAGCATGTGCTTTAGGAAAATCAAAGCTGGCTACCTCTAAATCTCAGCTGACTTTACCCAGCATAATGCAGCACATATCACCCTGACCATGCTTTCAAGCACCTGGTTATGATGCTACACTGTGATTGCATTCACGTATCCCATTAAGTTATGGTTTACCTAACAGTGGTTTATAACATAAATCACCATGGGCTGAATTCATACAATAAACTATGGTTTATACACCACATTGGCCGGATTGACACCAAACCAAGCAAACCATATTATGGCTTAGTACAGCCTACTACTAGGCCAGAATTCTATTGTGTTTTCTGAGCATTATTATATCAGCTGCTTTAATCATTTAAAAAGAAGGGAAAAAACAATAGCTAGCTTCACACACTCCATTGTCTTAGTGCAGAGTTTTAATTCTCCTAATCCAGAACACTCAGTTATGCACAGTATTTTATAATCTTAGATATGGTGTTTCAACACGTCCATAATAACAACAAAAACTCTCTGTATACAAAAGCACTCCAAGAGGCATAATCAATGAATAGATATTTAATAATTCCTAGTTATTCTACTCACATATGCATGCAGACATCATAATAGTTTACTATTTTTTCCAGAATTCTAAGACCCACTTCCTCTTTTAGCCATAAATTCAATTTATTGATGAGTCATAAACCAAGGATGTGATCCCCACTTTAAAATGACCCGTAGCACTTTACAAAGCAATGACATGCATTTTCAAAACAATGTTTCCATGCTCCTCTTGGACTCCTTTTATTAGCTAAAACATCAAGACAATCTATGTTGTTTTTTCATTCAACACAGCAACCCTAAAAAAGAAGCTCATCTTTTTTCTTTACATGAATAAATGTCATGAAAGATGTATTGCTGAACAAGGGAAATATCAACCTGATGCAAATGTTAACAGCTTGGTTGAAGTCCTGAAATGTGTATGCGTTAACTGCATGAATGAAGATAACATTAATAAAATAATCTGTAATGATTTTTTATCAAATTAAAATGAAGACAGTATAACCAGCAAATGGTAACATTCTATTAATATGGCTACAATTTGGCTTGACTCAGCCCAGGGTACTGAAAATCAACAAGAGGTATAAGTAAGGCAACAACAGATTATTTCCATTTCAGAGAAACATCAGCTTCATCTTTATTTGAAGATTTCCATTAACTTTTTGGAAACAACTCAACCAGAAAAATACACAAACTGAGGCAGTCTCCAAAAGTCTTAAATAAATCCCTCTTCAAGCATGGCAAAATGTTGTCACTGAACTGTGACAGAAAAGGGAAATTATTTAATACCTTGGGAGTAAAATCATGTTAGCTTGAATTCAATTCATCTTTAAGTCAGTTTGAGTCAAATTAAACACAATTTAGTTTTGGATTAAACCCCATTTGTTTCCTTGTCTTGGCCCCAATGGTGTCTGCAGCACACCTTCATGACACCAAAACAATGACATCTGTGCCATGATATCATCACGCAAATGCCACCATGACATACTTGCATTTCAGTGGCTGACTCAGGTATGTAAGTCACAGCATTTGCATGGTGGTACCGTCACAGACATTCCGTCTTTTGTACTACCTCCCTCCCCTGCAGATACTCATGTCTGTCCCTATCTACTTTTGTGATTGGACAATATCACTCCAAGGTGGAAAGACAATATCACTGGCCCCAAAAAACATTGTACACAATGACCAAAAATCACCAGTGGGAGGGGCGTATTTCAAATACAGTTCTCCAGTGACCTTCACTAATTGCCTTTGAAATTGCTTATAACATTCACAAACAGCTTAAGGTTGTTGCTTCCTTTTCTTTTGACTTCTCCATTTCCGTATTGTTTCTTCCCAAGAGGAAGATGTATCCAAACAGATCACGTACCAAAATGGTTTTGTTAGGGACCTGAACATACAGGCTTAAGGCAAGAGGAGCCACACCCCAGATTCCTTCTGAAGATTAATGAGTGGCTGCAAGCCCTGATTGTCATTAAATTGGCACAATGTGCCTTGTAATTCAGTCACTTCTGCTATTCGAGAAGTTGAAACAGCACTACCGTTACTGCTGTACCAGGCATTTTTAGGCAAATTAGAATCTGGGAAAGCAGCCAAACCTTTGGTTTTCCTCAAATATCTTTTAGGGATCTGTTGGAGCATAAAAACAAAATAAAATAAAAATAAAATAAGAGCAACCTTCTAGGTTTTATTCTCAGTACCCTGACAGTTTATGTGGCAATCTTGTTTGCCACAGCTACAGCAATGCTACATCAACCTTTCCCTTCAGCAAACATGCAGATCTACCTTCCCAAACCTAATGACCTCTAGATGTGATAGATCTACAATCCTGAGAATTCTAACCAGTCTGGTCACTGATCACTCTGGCTGTGGATACTGAGAGTAATTAAGTTAATTAATTAATTAACATGTCAAGCAATATGTAAGCATTCTGCCACATTAGATTGTGGGCAGCCGCCTGAACTGAAAGTGATTTTTTTTCTGAGCACAATTTTCACAAACTTCTCTTTAGCAAGATTTATTAATGTGAAAGGAATAGCAATATTGTAGAAGAATTCCAGCGAGTGAACTATCTCAGTGTATATCTGACTTTCTGAGTCTTTTTCTCACAACCTTATGATGCACTGAAGAAGAAGAGGTTCCTCTCACTGAAAGTGAGAAAGTCTGCAGCTGGTTGTTTATCTAATGGTCATCTGATTCTTTATCAGTCTGAGAACCAATTCTTACAATCCAGTCTAAAATAGAAATTAAACCCAAATGTCCATTAAAAATAGAAGCATGCATTCAATAGTTCCACACAAAAACAGCTTTTGTCAACCATCTGGGACAATAAAAGGTAGATTTTCCAAACTGAACGCCATGCTGGATAAGGAAGGAGGAGCTATATCCTGCCATCACTTCTCACCAATCTGTGTCATGGTAAGAATGATTTCCCACCAATAATTACCAGGAATTCTGGCACTACTTTGGCAGGGAGAAGAGACCATGGAAGCCAGCAAGTCTCCCAGTGTTCACTGTCTTCTGGATGCCTGCTTCATCCATCAGCTTCACCTTCTTTTTTAGGGCCAAGGGGGCAGTTACCATTCCTCTGGACACTCCAACTATGGCACATATCTCCAGTAAATGGCCCAAGATACTGGATGCCAATATTGAAATTTGAGAAGCTAGCAATGTGTCTAATGGCTTTGCTATTGGTCTCTCCCTTGAACAATCTTGTCTGAGACCTATGCCATTGAAATATAGCACTTTGGAGCATGGGAATAAGTGGTTCTGTTTCTGTCCTATCACATGGCTTCTATCTTAATCATTTCAGCAGTTTAGATTGGTTAGATACAAGAGTATGATGAAACCCTGATTGTCAAAAGTACTTTCATACAAAGGCCAGAACGTAGTTATAAAACTTACGTTGTTTGATGTGACCTTTTATTTCAATGTTGGCATGCTTGCTTCCCACCAGTATTACTAATAATAATTACATAACACAAATGCTGAGATCTGTGGTTCTAAAATGCAACCCTAAGTACTCTTACAAGAGAGTAAGGATTATTGATTCAATGGGATTAACTTCTGAGTAAACATGCTTAATATTTCATCAACAGAATCAGAGGCTAAAGCTAAGGTTTGACATTCTGAAATACTTAGTAGTATGAAATTGAAAAGCAGGTCTTCTGTACAAATCTAAATGCACAAGTCTTTGAATACCAACGTACAAATCTCCACTGGAATAAAAATTATGACCGTGATCAAGCATAGTAATTACCGAGTCTGTTAAATTAACTTAACATATAGAAGTGCCTGACTTTAGATCATAAACTACATTTGAGAAGCTGCACTGATGCTGAATTAATTCAAACAAGTTTTCAGGACTTCAAGCTTAATATTTTTTTTATTCTTGTTTCTCAGCAAACTCCGAAAAAGCCCAACACCCGGAAAAGACAACTGGCTTGAATGAAAACAGAGACTGCCCATCTCTTTTTTTATCCAATTCATGTTGAACATTTGATTTTATGTCGTAATTAATCAATCAGCTGTTGCTGTCTCTCTGATAAAAACAGACCAATGATCACAGTAGCAGCATTTTTGACTGAATATTATAACTTTTCTTGCATCTGTAGGCCAAACTACCTTGTGATAATGGAACATCTTTTGGAGAACTAAGATCACTGCCAAGAAAACCCATAAAAGCTGACTTCATTAAGGGTCCCCTCCCCAGTCTTTTCATTTTGAAACCCCCACTACACACACACACACACCCCTCTCTCTTTCTCTGAGACGCACACACACACACACATAAGATTTTTCTCCTGGACAGGCTCAAAGACCAGAAAGAAATGTACAGGAAGAAAAATAAGGAGTTGGAGAGTTGATTATAGGCAGGAGGAAAGTCCAGTGCACTGTTCACACCTGCTAACCCTAAAACTCTCTCCAGTTTTCATCTATCCTGCACAAGCTGCATTCTAGCATAGAATTCATTGTTATTCCATCTAATTAGACTCTAAGGCCTGTATCAAAGGACAACATTTGGGGCATGACAGTTGTATCTCTTCCAAATCAATGTTCAGAGACCAAACAATGCATAAACATGCACATGTCACAAATACATCTACCATGGAGCTACCTGAAGGGGGAAGCCTCATCTGCAATTCTGCTCCAGATCACTGCTTTTCCATTACTAATGCAGGCTGGAGAGGGAAGTTGAAAAAAACACCCCAGAAGAAGCCAGTGACAAAGCACTTCCATAGCACTGCCAAGAAAATGGCATGGACAGAATTACCAGAAGGTGAGCTTTATACTAGAGTGACAACAAAAGTCAGGTTCCCCCTTCTTTCCAGTGACCGTTGTGGGCAGACAGAGAAAACTAGAGATGTATGAAGTTCTGACAAGCCGAAATACATTCACTCTATGAGTCTCATCCAATATAACCATGTATGTACCACATGTTTAGTATGAAATGAAATACCCACAGCCATTAGAATCATTGGACAGCCTTTGACAAATACTCCCTTACTGCAACGGAAAAACCTAAGAGTGCTGATACAAAACAGAGCACAAGGTACATTTATAGTAAATTCTAGGAGATCACATTGCAAACTAGTATTACTGGGTCAGTTTTTCCAAACATTAACAGGAAAAACTGTGCCTGAATAAAGGAAAAATGTGGACAAAATGGGTGTGATGGAGAACTTGAAGCCGGACAGACAGACAATCATGTGTGAAATATTACAGAAATACTCTACATAGTGATCACTGATGAAAACATACTTCAAAACAAACTTTGAACAATAGTTGCTGACTTTGGATTGACATGTTTCTTCCTTAAGAAGATAATCAATTTGCAGGAAACCTTTATATGAGGAATGGTAATTGCTAGAATATGTAGTTCAGCAAACTCTGTAGATCACAGGTTTCCCAACCAAATTGATCTGAATGACAGTCCAGTCAAATGTCACTGTTAATAGATGTGTTTCTATCAGCAGCTTGGACTATTAGCTTAAGTAGAAGGGCAAGGCATACATGGAAAATCATTGTTATTAACAGCATTAAACATTAGCACCTGGGCGACAGATGGATCAAACATACAAGATTCAGAGGCATAGTTTTCTTTGCTATAGAAAGATGTTCTTATTCCTATTTAAATTACAATAATTATTTCTAAGACTGCATGGAGTATCTACAAAACAGCATACAGTATGCAAATTATATACAGGTGTACATCTTCTACTTTAATTTACTGTGATGCATTTTGTGGTGGGGGAGGACAGTGTATCAGCAACCACTATACTGATTTCAGTTTCAGGCAAGTATCAAATGTTTCCCATTTACTTCAGCTTGCTAGTGAAACAGGCAACAGCCACAGTACTTCCTGCTCTGAAATTTCAGCTGTTTGAAAATCATTGTAGCTACTGGGCAGTCCCTGGATTTGGAACAATGTTGGGGAGGGACATTTAAACCTCTGCTGCCCACCAGCTCAACTAATATGAGACATGCAAGAAGAATTTCAGAGGCTGTGCAGCAGCTACAAAATGAATTGCCCTCCTGCCTGCTTTGATGCAAGATGTTTGTTTTCTTCAACAATCATAAATTATAGAATCATTCTTGAAGAAAATCCAATTCTCAAACAGGCCCTGGGAAAGAGGCTCTCCTAAAATTCATTGGCCCAATATCAATTAGAAGAGGACAGGTAGAAGGACCTTAATGAAATCTATTAAATCCATCCTATAGTTCCCTCTTGTCACTCCCTGTAAGCTTTTAATACAGCGGCTAATCCTACTACTATCATTAAGCTCTGGAAATCTGACCTATTCCATCTTATGGAGCTGCCAAAAATGTGTAAATGTAACCACAAAAACTAACAGCTATAGAGACTGAAGCTGAAGAAAAAGGCAAAAGTGTATACTTTTAAATCCATACACTTATGGCCATTCATTCATTTCTGAATTTCTTTCTTTCCTGTTCAACTTCTTCAGCCCCAAAGGCTGGGTATTCTGCATCAAGAGCGTAGCAAGCCCTTCTTTATAGTCACAGGCACAACGAACATTATCTGAGACAAAAGAAAAATGATAAAGTTAAAGGTGAAGGGGCTCATTACCAGCTGTGGAACTTATGTAAAGAGATGGAAAGTGTCAGCCCTCAAGGAAGACCAGACGAGGACGCCAGAGTTATGAATGCTAATACTGCTAATAGTGGCTCTTCCTCCTGTTCCTCAAGGTTATTCCTTCTGCCCATTACAGAAAGAGAGAGAGAGAGAGACAATACTAGGGGATCCTAGTTTGAGGGGATCCAGGCCAGAAAACATTAGGGATGGCCAGGTCTTTTTCTGTAGCAACCGTCACATTCAAATTGCCTGGCTAACTGCCTTGCAGCCACACAGCTTGCCCCTTTTCCTAATCATAACCACCATTGCTGCTCACTCCTCCATTTCTCTCCTCACTACAACCAACCATCCAGGAAAGAAAGTGTCATGCTGGCCAATTGTCCTGGGTGAGCTGTTTTAACATATGTATATTTTTTCAACATAAAAGTTTCCCTCAAGTCATGCTTGACTCCCAATGACTTCACAGCCATGGCCATGCAGAGTTTTAGCAATGTTACAAAATTGTTTGCCAAAGTCTTCTTCCAGGATATTTTTC